GATGGGAAGAAGATGATTTTTTATTTCCAACAACACCATTTCATTTTCGTTTTATTCTTCTTGATAAATTTCGTTTACTTTTATTTCCTTGTTTATTCATTTAAAAATAACTTTATTCCAACTAAATTGATATCACTTTTAAAATTATTTGGTACAGAATGAGAAAAAAGTTACAGTAAAAAGACTAACATTAACATACCAAAACACTTAAATTAAGTTTTGAAATATGACTTTTAAAATGGAAAACTAACAAGCATATAGCACATTAAAATCATGCTTGTGATGGTATTTTACTGTTTTGAATTCATAAATCTCATATGACTAATGGTTGCTAAGGTAAAGTGGGTCTATGTGTGTAAAATATTATGATATGTAATTATATTATCAAAATTGTTGTTAATAGCATTATAAACAGTTTCATCAGACCTAACTACTTCCGTGTTAACAATTCTTCAGAACTATTAAACATTTATGTTTAAAGTTTATATCTTTGAAATTTATATTAAGAAACATGTGTATTTTTTTTGTATAAAACAAAATATTCACCTAGGTCAAATAAAATATTATATAAGACCTATTTGGTGTTAAAATATTTTGTTTGTGATATGTTATAATTAATACTAATTTATTTCTTTAAAATTTTAACAGATTTTTCATAAATATTACTTTAGAAAGAATTTAAAAAATGCCAAGATGTTACAATAAAAAAATAAAACCCAAGTACAATGCTGATAGTTTGGAAGGAGCAATTATGTTAGTATGTGAAGAAAAAAAGACTATTTATCATGCTGCTGAAGAATGTTCTGTTCCTAAAGAAACATTGAGACGAAGAATAAAACAACAAGAATTTAAAGCAAACAAACGTGAAGATCGAAAAAGTGTGCTGAGTGATAATGATGAAACTATAATTGTAGCTGCAGCCAAGTATTGTCTAAAATATCAAGAGAATCTAATGGTCTTCCATTAGATTATCTTGATATTTGTAATTTAGTTGCTCAATTTTGCACAGCCATGAGGATGAAAACTCCTTTTAAAAATGGAATTTCTGGGAAAGATCGGATAATTTTTTTTAGGAAGCGTCATGTTGATAAACTTCGATTACGTAAACCTGAAATACTTGCATTTTCAAGAGCTAAAAGTTTAACACGTGAAGTTGTAGATAATTTTTTTGCTACTTTATCTGATGTAATCCATAATAATAACATTGTACCAAGTAGTATATACAACCTTGATGAGATTGGGCTCTCCACAAATCACTTTACGAAGAGAGTATTTGTACATCCAAAAAGCAAAGATGCTTACGAATTGGCTGCTTCTTCTGGTAAAGCTATCTATTCTGTGCTGTTCTGTGTGTCTGCAGATGGAAGATATCTTTCACCATTTGTTGTTTTTAAGGGAGAAGACTATCTGTATTCTAAATGGATAGAAAATGGACCACCAGGATGTGCTTTTGGTGCAACAGCAAGTGGATGGATGCAAGACTTTCTATTTGAAAACTGGTATTTTACTTGAATTTTATAATTTTCATTTTTTTTTTCTTCCTACTTTTTTTTTTCCTTTTTTGTTGTTGCCTTTGTTGTTCCTGAAGATGGTACAAATGATTCAATAGAAGTAAATACATTCTATGTTTAGGTTTGTCGAGCACTTTATACCATTTGTTGACCAAGATCAAAAACCAATACTCTTGCTTTATGATGGTCATGGCAGTCATTTACCATAAAAGCGGCCAAGGAAAACCATATCCAAATTGTTTGTCTTCCACCAAATTGCTCACACGCATTACAACCATTAGATGTGGCTGTCTTCGAACCATTAAAGAATGAGTGGAAAAAAATTTTAAAGCGGTTTTCAAGAGAAACACAACACAAAAATATTGATAAGACAGCTTTTACAGGATTATTGAAACAACTGTGTCAGAGACTTTCTCCAGCAAATGCTATAGCAGGATTTCACAGTACAGGTATCTCACCATTAAGTAAAGAAAAGATGGAAAGAAGAATAACAGGTATTGATTTTCTCAATCAATCACCTGAACGTTATAGCCCTAAATTTCCAAGATTACAAACACCAAGATCGGCTATGCGAGAAGCTTTAAGGTCAATCATATGTCCTAATGTATCTGCAGAAACAGCAGCAATAATAGAACAACAAAAACAGAAAAGGAAAAGAGTAGAAGCAAAATGTGGAGAACTCCTTACAAATGAGAAAGTCAAACGACGGTTACTTGAGGAACAAAAAGTTAGAGAAGAAAAAAACCAAGTTAAAAAAAATGCACAAAAAAAACTAAAGTAATAAAGAAAAAACTAAAGTAGTAAAGAAATACCCAAAAAGATCTAAGTGGTGCCCAAAATAGAACAAATGTTACCAGAAAAGTTAAGTGATCAAAAAAATAGTTATTTTTTATAAAACACATTATTAAAACAATATTATTTCTGTTATTAATCATCTTTTTTTCTTTTATTTCTCAGAGTTTTTATTTTTTATTGTTGTGCTGTGTATGTATGCACTTTCTTTTTAAATAAAAATATCTCAAGACTACATTTTAAAGTAAAACTTTGTATATATATACTATAATAAATGTGCGGGCATATAAAATGTATGTCAGATTTTTAATAGGCAGCAGTATTTTGAACCGGAACTGCAAATATCTTATGTAGACTCACATTGCCTCACTACGTGGGGTAATGTGGGTCTGCAAACATTTTATGTAGACCGACATTACCCCACTACGTGGGTCTACATAAAATGTTTGCAGTTCCGGTTCAAAATACTGCTCAGATTACCCCACCCCACCAAAAAATCTAAAATTTGATATTTTTCAAAAAACTTGCTTATTTTCAGTTGTTTGTGTGCCACCTTAAAATTCAACATAAAAGTCCAAATTTCTTTTTCAGCTAAATGTTTTTTTAAAATCTGGCTAAAAGATTTAACCTAAATTCGTCTTTTCTGTTCAATTCGGATATTGAAAAATCTGTGTATACATATGGTCCAAATTCGTCTTTCACTTCAATTCGGGTCTGAAAAAGTGGACTTTATCTGTCCTTATATTATTTGTTGAATTTGGTGCCCTTCAAATTGTCACGGAAGGAAACCAAGTTCAACCCCTATAAAAAATGTTTACCATGTATTTGGCTTGATCTGCAATTTAATCTTAGTTGAATTCATTAAAATCTAATACTCTGTTGAATTTATTTCTTTGGCGAAATTGGACGCGGAATTCAATTCTGGAAAGAAATTGCAGTTTTTTCTCATTGTAAGAGAAAACATTCTAAGAGAAAAGAACCAGGTCTCATTGAACAAAGGTATATCATCTGCCCAATAAAGTGTGCAATACTTTGCAACTTGGATTAACCAATAAACTCAGTTTTTCTTGGGACCTCCTTCTATAATACCCCCAAAATATTCGAGTAACAGAATCGCTTCTAGTTTTGACTGAACTATCCATATTCTATGGCAGGGTGTATAGGGTATTGTGGTTTAACTTCCTCCAGCTAATTGCCATATAGAGAGTTAAATACCCGGGCCTGCGAAAACGACTTCAGCTCCACATGGAGCATCATAACCCGCTTCGCAGACCAAGAGTAAGTGATTTTAAGGAGAACGAAGAACATTTAAGTGAAAGTCAGAAGAAGTCGAGTTAAAAAGATAGCATAGAGTAAGCGGACAGATATTGACACTTATGTAAGACTGTGTAATTAGTACTATAAATTAGATTACCTAATTAATTAAATACTCTGGAAGCAGCTAACAAATTAGCTAACACCGCGCTAGTGGTTTGGCAGGGTGTATAGGTGTGGCACTAAAATAATGGGCTTTAATAGAAAAATGAATGTGCTGCTGGTCACGTAGGCGCTTCATTTGGTCACGTAGGTAGGTTATTTATACCAGAATAAACGTATTACTGATTACATAAGCCTTAGTCGTCAAGTACGTGCACACAAAGGTGCACGTCTACTTTCGTAGCGTTGCCAGGTATCCTGCTTTTACGAAAGAGAACACAGTAAAAAAGTTTCTTTTTACAGATTTAGTACTGTGTTCCCTTCCGTAAAAAAGCTTCTGTAAAAAAGCCGAACATCTGGCAAACCTAACCTTGGCAACTATTTACTAAGTTTTAAACATTTCTCTTTTATTTCTGCGATACCTTTGGACAGGAAACATATGTTCCTGACCTTAAACGCTACTTAACTCACAAATTTCTGTAATATATGAACCCAGCGCCCAAGAAAACATATAAAATATTGCTACATGCATATATTTGCGGAAATTCATTTCTTCTACCAAAACTTTGTAGCCTTTTTGAAAAAAAAAAGCAAATCGCTGTCGCAGCCCAAAAATATTATCACGTTTGAATTCAGCGTAAACTTTACCTTAGAAACAGATCGTTAAATAAAAACTTTCAGATTTGTCTACCATAATATGAATCACTGCATATAGAATAAGCTCTGTGAACTTTAAAATAATACGTTTAAAATCTTGAAATCAAATATTCAAACTAAACCTCAGTCATGATTTGAACGAGATTTAATTTGAACATTTGTAATGGCTTTTTTTCTGTAAACTTTAAACTCGACCTTAGCGATTAACAAATAACTTATTGGTAAAATTATTGGTTAAGGTTTCATGAAGGAAATTCCGAGTACTATTTTCACTTTTAATTACGATTTTATATTTCAGAATATTGTTTGTTCAAGATAATTACAAATTGTCCTGTTGAGTGTTCGAGAATCTGAAATGACCTAAAGGGAATCAACTTGGTCTTCCCTTTTATATCATTTCACGGCGGCTAACAAAGATTTTTATTTTATAACTATCGAAGCATATTATTATTTATTTTTATTTTTTATATATTATTTATAGAATTAACTCAGGTTTTTATTATGTTTAAAGTTCAAACAAACAAAAAACTTAAAATTTTTAAAATAGAATTTCAAATAATAAAAATTCATAAGATTTGTAGATTTGAGAAAAACTATTTACATTTTTTTAAAAATGACATTAAATAACAAAAACTAACAATTTAAGGTATAAAAATTATACGCAATTTACACCGTTTACATCTGCAAATGATTTGTGCATTTAGTATAAAAAAAAATACATCGACATAAAAAAACATCTAAAAATTAATTTGTTCTATCATTGCACGTGCATCATATACAGTAGATATATTTTATTTATTCAATCACAAAACATTTTTTTTTTGAATGAAAAATATTATAAATAGTTAACATATCAATATTATTTGTGACACTTGCAAACCGTATATATATAAACTTATATATAGGAAATATGAAAAAAAAAAATCGCGTGGAATCATATATAAAATTATGTGTGCAAAGTTAATACGGAATTGTATACAAAAAATCAGATATATTTGTGGAGAAATAAGAACTATTTCTGTAGACATATAAAGAGCTATATAATATATATTATAAAAACTTATTTAACTAGCTAACAGAATACAATAAAATAATGTGCACACTGTGCAAACAATAAAATAAAATACAGCTCTTACTACAAAAGATTGTTATGGGTATTTAATGTTTAAAAAAGACAAAGTAAATGATAATAAAATAAAAATAAACAAAATCTCTGTACCCAGCCAGCACCTAAAGTGAAATTGCTGGGTAAACAAGCAAATGCTTTAACTAATAAAAGTAGTTATGAAAGTTTATAGCTTTAAAAAGAATATCTAAAAGCTACAAAATTGTTGGATTATTGCCAATTTATGACATTTAAGCAAAAGGCCAATGAGATCTCTTTAAGCAACTTTTGCAAGCCTTACGTCGAAAAAACGTGATGCTCTGCAAACTGAAATAATTATTTATTAATTAACTTATCCATAAGTTCTTGCAAAGGAGCTAGCTCTCTTTTGTCAATCAATCCAAACTCTTGGACAAAATATATAAAATGTTTGAATGAAGTATTAAGATGTGCTTCTTCACCTAAACTGACAACTTGAGGGAAATGCTGGTGATAAATGTGTGCATAAACACGAAACAACCTTTTCAAAATAGTCTTGGCAATAGATACAAAATTTTTAGGAAATGGGACGCCGATTTTTGATGGAAAGAGCGCTTCATTGTCCAATTGATCTTGCACCCATGTCATTAAATAATCTATATACTTAGGAGCAGAACATTTTATTGGCTTTTTCACAGATGTGCCATCTGCCCATAAATACTCAAACTTCGGTCCTGCAGACATAACGGGACATGATTCAGAAGTACAATGGTCTGTTATTGTACCAAACAACATGTTTATTTGATTAAAAAAATCTACTGTGTTCACTGCGATCCACTCATTAAGATCTTCACCCTAAAATTACAAATTTAATAATATATTTCTTTATTTTAAGAATGCTGTAGCAATAAAAATACTCATTATAACCATTAAAAAAAATTACAATCGAAGTAACTAATGAGTAAATTTTTAACAATCTATTGAACTTATTTAATTTTTTGAACCTATAGAAATAAAAATAAAATTATTTTAAAAGTAAAGAGTGAAAATATTTTAACTTTTAAAAATACTTAGTTATTTGATACCTTGCTTGTTACTTTTAATTAGTGATGTACTATCAGGGTTGGCATTAAAAAACCCGCCCAAAAAAACCTGCCCAATAAAACCCGCCTAAAAAAAACCCAATAAAACCCTGGAAAATCTGGGTTTTATTGGGTTTTTTTAAAGATATTTATCAAGTTAATGAACTATTATAACCCACTTTAACATTATAACTATAATATTATTAACTAAAATAATTATTAACTATTATTATCAACTAAATTATTATTAACTATTATTATTAACTACTATAACCAACAATAACAGCTATCAGAGCAGATTTACTATTATTTGAATCATTATTTGGAAATACATTATTACAATTTTTATTCAAATATTTTTATCGATTGAGATTTTTATTACTTAATGTTATTCACCTCCCAAGTTGAATTTAAATGAGTATTAGTGACCAGAGAAGCCAACACAACAGTTGAGGAGGCTACCTTGTTGTGGTTACAATCCTCTTTCAACTCTTACGCGGTAGTGGTGTTGTCGTAGAGTGCTCGCTTCATAAGTGAGAGGTTCCGAGTTCGATCCCCACTACGTCCCTGGCAGTACTGCGCTTAACTACTTTCTCTGCGCAGCGGCCTTGTTCGTCAAGGTTCGTGTTTCGGAGTTATAGAGTTGAGAGAGGGTTATAACCACAAATAAATAGCCTCCTTGCCTGTAGTGGCCTTAAACCTTAAGAAGGTGAATTGATTTAAAAAAAAAAAAAAAAAAAAAACTCTTTAACTCCTAAACACGAATCTTTATAAACAAGGCCGCTGCACAGAGGAACAAGTTTGTTCATTTGAATTTCAAGTTCAAAGTTTAATTGAAACTTCAGTTACTACCTCCCATTCTCTAGCCTTCTTTTTCCCATTTTCTTATTGACATTTTTAATTATATAGAATAATACTTTTAAATTTAAAATAAATCAATACATATAGAATTTTTTTT